ACTGGTAGAAGAATTTTCCCACAATGATATGAGTTGAGCTGACGTTTCCTTTGAATTTCACATAGCCTTGTTTTCCTAAAGTTGTTCTCATCCAGGATGAATACATCTCATATAACTAAAACCAATCATAAATATAAGGACCAAGATGGCATGACCTTTTGTTTGTTCGCAGTCCCCTTTAGCTGTATAGTGTTGGTTTTACCTCGTTTTCGCAACTGTGTCGGGACGATAAGGAGACTTTGTGAAATATACCAACATCAGACCGTTGACTTGATACGTTCCCAGACGTTTCGCCGGCATCGGCTCTGCCATCGACGGCGCCTCTCATTGACGATGCCGACTACGATGCTGGCGAAACGTCTGGGAATGTGCCAACTCAAGGGTCCAATGCTAGAATCATCATGTATACTATGTTAGAGGATACAGGATTAGGTTTTTTTCACAAGGTCTCACTGTTACCCCGACCAAGTTGAGAAAACGAAATCAAATTAATACTTAGTTAAAACGAAGTTGCATAGAGATGTTCAATGTTGTACGAGTTCCTACAAGCCTAGGTGGATGAAAGCACATTATTACATGTCTTGTTTAGTTTTAGTCTGGAAACCGCTTTTAATGTATTATTGATATGTAATGCAATCGCGAGAGTTACCTTTTTCACATAACTAGAAAGGCCTATCTGGTTTTACCCGTATAAGTGCAACTGAAACCTCTCAATGGAGCTGTGTGGCTTGAATTGTACGTTTTTTTGCCAATTTCTTAATCGGTTTAGACTGATAACCCACTCTAACATATCTGATTTAAATGGCCACTGGTTGGTTTTACCGCTGTCACTTCGAGTATGGGCGTCAGGCTCTTCATTTATTTGTTCACCCGAAGATTCCAGTCATGATAATAGATTCATGAATCACGGGTTTTTTATGCGTAAGATGCTCTGTTTCTCCAAAACAAATCGTGCTTAGATCTATTTTGTACCAATTTATCTGGCGACGCATTGGCACTTTTTTTATTATTTCCAACTAATAATTATACTTTCATATATTTTCTCAATTTCGACAGCCTCCTCGGCATTGCTGAACTCTCCGTATGCTGCAAAAGCCATGCATCCTGTCCTAAGCATGTAGAAGCCAAATTCCCTGAAACGCCTCGATATCTTCCTAACGAATTGGTACGTTTTGCACCATTACTTGTAATCTCAAACATGTACCTAAATTGACCTAAATGCAAATGGAATCGACGACGAAAATCTTCAGCCAATTGTATATAAATTCTTATTAATTAAAACTTTCATAGACCCTAATGTATCGATAACCCGTTTTATACGCGTGCAGTTTTCAATTCTATCACCTGCAGATCATTTGTCCTGTAGTGATGTCAACTATAACGAGACTAAGTAATTTCATCTATCGTAATAGAAAATGCATATTTACTTAGTCGACACTCCTTCCATAAATGTAACTTGAAGGGGATCTTGCTTGCCTTGAATGTTACATTTGCTCTGTGGCCCATTGGCACTCGTGGCTGGGTAGTAAAGGGATAAAGTCGCCACGATACTCACGATCCTGTATCTTATGCATTTAGGTGGCTGATGAGACAAAGGCGAGGTCGAAACTGTGGTCCATCCTGGATGAGATAGGCTTTTGGGAGGCAAGGCCTAGGGAAATTCAATGCTATCTCCCTAAGCCCACTCGTCTTAGCGTCACTCATGACCATTCCCAGCATCGGACTTGGTACATTTCTTACTTCATTTGCCCTAAGCGACCTAGGGTCACTAAGTTCTGATACCAATTGTTTTGGCAGCCTACCGGATTATTCATCATCTCTTTGCTTAATACTGTCATTCAGATCTTATTAAACTTTATTAAACTACCCTTCATAAATATGAGATGTATTCAATCAATTTCGTTTGAGGAGATGAAGGACTGGTAGAAGAATTTTCCCACAATGTTATGAGTAGAGCTGGCGTTTCCATTGAATTTCACATAGCCTTGCTTACTCAAAAGTTGTTCTCATCCAAGCACCAGTGGACTGCAGTTTCGACCTCGCATCGGTCTTATCAACACCCCCAGCGGGAGTCGAACTGTGACAGTGTGGAATGGGAGCTTGACACGCTAGCAACTTGGCCACATTGCCACGAGTGCCCTTTGGTCACAGGGCAAATGTGAATTTCAAGGAAGGCCAGGCCTTTTGTCATATCATATTCTTTGGTGGGATTGTCGATGAAGCAAACGTATATTTACTATAACAATCGACTACTTTACTTTATTTTTCGCATTAAAGTATTGTTTCGAGATTACCAGTAAATCAATAATATGATACGAGAACAACCTTTGGGGAAGCAAGGCTATGTGAAATTCAATGGAAACGTCAGCTCTACTCATATCATTGTGGGAAAATTCTTCTACCTATCACCTTAACGAAATTGGGTGAATACATTTCATATTACTGATTTACTGGTAGTCTCGAAACAATACTTGAATACCCTTCATTATCATAAATTGCAAAGTCACTTCTACGTCACTGCAGTCTGTAGTCTCATATACTCTTCGATAATATTTCACGTGTTTGTATGTGTATGTCCGCTCTGAAGTGAGATTGCATGCTTGAGGCAGATACTAGCATAGGTGGCGAGTGGGAAACGCTGAGGAAGGGGTTTTTCGAAGTCGTTTCTTCCTTTTATCTACTTAGCACTGTTGGTGAAACAAGCCAATGTCTCGGATACCAATCCATAATTTGCATATTCTGACCTCAATCTTTTGATAAAATGTTGCGTTCCATCTACTTACCTAGGATCATATTTTCTGGTTTTAGCCTCGTACGATATCGAGGTATTGCATCTATTAGTGGTTTCTTTATTCATTTATGAAGAGTCTTCTTCAGTTTACATTGAATTTCACCATACCGTATATCTCGAAAAGCCGTTATCACCCAGATTGGATAGCACTTTCGGCTTCAACTCATCGTCTCATCAGCAACCTCTGCGGAATTTAAATTCACATCAATCCTGGTGGCTTCAAAGTTAAAACTTTCATTAACTCAACAAATCACTGGCGTGTCGAGTTAACTAGCAAGCACACGTTTGCCCACATAATTGTGTGAATTGAGGGCGGTTTCATTGTCTTAAAAGTCACGTTTGTTGTGTTGTCTTGAGAGTTGCATGCTTGCCACACACAGTCTACACGTCCACTATTCGAGTTCCACCGAGGGTGCTGATGAGGCAAGACCGAAACTGACGTGCAGTATAGTAGCAAACTGCCTTGTAGGTGTGTCAAACCTAGGTTGATCACAGGGAAGCCAGAAATTCTCCTAAATTTCTCTTGGGTCGCCTCATTATCAGTCGAAACCGGTATAACTCGACAAGTGGTAATAATGCGGCATTTATCACTTTAAGGGCATAATCAAATAGGTTCTTAACTGTATCTTTGGCCAGATTAAGAAGGAGCAAGTCCAGCCTGTGAGTATACAGAATAATCCTTCTTCTAGTCTTCAGCATTTTAAAGTTTTCCCTCCATTTTTCGCGTGCTCGATGTGCCTCTTGGAGGTGGAGAATGGCCGACGCATTTCTACCGTTTGGGAGCAAAAGAGCAGTCGAGCTGCCGTTGGCTCAGATCTGCCTTGGCGCGATGAAACGTTCTGCCTGTCCACTTCTCGCGATACCCATCTGCCTCTGAGCCCCTCCGATGACGAGGCTGTGGAGGCAAATCCTCGAACCAGCTCTACCACTGCTTGGCCATTGTACCTCTTCCAGTTCGGACGATCTCGCCGCCCCATCCACTTTGTCTCGCTGGCCTGTGGCGGCTGTCTCCTGCTGGCCTGCATCGCAGCTCTCTGTTTCTACGCCTCCCGAGCCGTCTGTCCCGGTTCGACAATCACTGGCCACGCTCGGACCTGGTCGTTAACCGGGCGCATCGCCGCAGCTTGCAAACTAGATCGCAACACTGTTTTTGCTGTTTCTATAACTACAGATCGGCCTGTACCCGTCTGAGCTAAAATAACTATTTTGGCTGTTTTCTCCTCATCAAATCCGGATAACCATAAGGTCTAGCTCATTGTCGAATCAAGAGGCCTGAGTTGTCCAGGTTACCAATATTTCTTGCTCATGACGACTATGCTTAACATTAACGCACGCCAATTTTTTACACAATGTGATCTTTTATCCCCTCCCCTATGCCTCAGATATCACTGCCTCTCTAAGAACCTGTACATATTTTCTTAATCTTGCTTTATCTTACTACTTAAAGTAGTAAGTATATTTAATTTATAAAAAGTTGCCGATATTCCTTTATAATTGTATTGACTTTTCTACACATTATTTTTATCTCTTCTATTCATTGCTTTGTTTAGCCCATTCGCCCACATTTTCGCATATGTACATCTTTATTCGAGCCTCACAAATCCCTTCATGAGTTTGGCTAAATAAGCAAATCACAGTGGCTTGTCGTTTTGCGTGCAATATATTACTCGGCCTTGTTCCACTTGGCCTCTATTTGATTTTTGTAAAGCACATTCTTTTCTTCATTTTTAGAAAACTCCTTATTTGACATCATTTTTACTTTTTAACTAGCTTTTAGAATACCTGTACTTTGCTTGCATATAAGTTAAGTTACGCTTCTACGAAGGGGCAGAGCTTGGAACTGCTGATATCAATTTTGTCCTGTGATTCGACTACTTTGCCTAAGACATCCTGGGAGACTGTATCATTTTTTTCCTTTGGCCTAGATTTTTTTCCGAATAAAGGGTTTCTGGTATACGACTTGCATTCCAATAACGGCATAACGAATCGGAAATAATAATATTATTAGGTCTAAATTGCCTAACCTCCCAGTGGCATTTATGTATCGTCGATTTGGAAAAATTTGGAAGGTTATTTCATACATCATATTGG